CCCGGCCAGCCTCGGCGCTGCCAGGCTCGCCCCAACCCGCACCGAGGAGGGGGTGAGTATTTGTGTGGCCCCCATCGGGGTGTGTCCCTGCCTGGTCCTAGTCAGGGCTCAGCAGATGGTCCAACCTCAGCAATAGATCTGATAGATCTGTGCCTTCCCCTTGCCAGGGCAAGGCAAGGAGCTGGGTGGGATGGATGGGCGGGTGGGTGGGTGGACAAGTGGGTTAGATGGATGCCAACTCACCAGTCATGGTGGTGAACTTTGCATTCACAAGGTTGAGCACTGCATCGACAGCTGGACACAGCTGTAGGGTGAGAAGAAAGGTGTGAGAAAACCTTGCGTGGAGGGTTCTGGTGGGAGCAGAGCTTTGTGGCTGCCCAGAAGCACGAGGACCCTCCACTATTAGTTACCCAGATAAGGGTTTGCCTCAGTTTTCTCTGTCCCTGGTTGAATCAGGATATTCTGGAGTAAACCTGCCTTAAGCTTAGTGAAGAGCAGGGCCAGACCCACCCCCCCGAGATCTGGCTAAACCAGACCGACTCCATGACCCACGTCACCCTTCAACAGGCCTTTGGGAACCAGCGTGCTCAGCATCAAGGTCAGCTCTGCCCGAGCATCACATCCCCATCCGCTGGCTGGGACTGGGGGGCTTTAGGCAGTGGCAGGAGGAGGAGGAGGAGGAGGTGATCTCTGGGAAAGAAGGATGGGAGGAGGATGGACTTACCAGACCTGGCAGCACTTTTTGAAGGGTGCTGGACAGAAACTTGCTCATGACTTTGGGCAGCACGCTGGGCAGAGACAACACGGTACGCACATAGCAATGGTTATTTACTAGAGATCCAAAGGCGAGAAAGTCAGGCACCAAAGAAGCCCCTCTGGTACGGACTGAGCGAAAACACTCCTAACATCGATAAAAGACGTCTTCTGTCTTTACAAACCTTTTCTCAAGAATGCCATCTTCTGGCTTTAAACAAAGCTAAAGGTTCCTGTGCCTAAGAGAAGCTCCGCTATCCCCGGAGCACAGCACTTAAATGAGGACCGATGCCAAAGACGGGCACGGGCACGGAATGGCACAGCCAGAGCTGACCTGAATCTGTCCGTAAAACATGTTGGTTTTCTCAGGGGAAAAAACGAACAGTGAGAAGTGTTTGTGTTCTGTAGAACCCCCCCCCCAGAGACTGAAGGGTTTGGCAGCGCCGTTGCCTGTCTCTGAGGAGCTGTCAACATTGGCAAATCACCGGTGCCGCCCGGAGCCTCACCTGCTGGGGAGGTTGGCCTGAACGCTCACGAGGGCGACATGGCAGCTCCCGGCGCGGAGGAGGGGGATGCCCGCGGCGTCCTGCCCCAGCTGGCTGCCCGCTGTCAGGTTGGCAGCCAGAGCTATCTCCATGTTTCCTCCCACGAAGCTGCGTGGAGCAAAGCTCCGTCACCGCGGGGCGAAGCCCGGGGGGCCGGCGAGCCCCCGGCCGCTCGCCCCACTCACCTTCTCCCAGCGATGGTCATTTGGACTAAGACGGCCATGAAGAGCCCCGAGCCCGGCCGGAGCCCCAGCGATATCACCGGGGGACGGAGCTCTTTCACCTTCAGCCTGCGGGAAAACAGAGAGGAAAAGAGCTGGGAAAGCGGCGCCCGCGGAGCCGCCGGGTCGGGCTGCTCACATCAGAGTCACCTATGGCTGATATTGCCATCGCCGTCTCTATTCTTCCACTTCTTGTTTAAACTTCCCATCTAAAACCACTTTTAAATTTAGAAACATG